CCAAATTTGTCCATATAAATGTTCAATTCCCAGAGATTAATCTTTTTTCTGTTATTGATTTAAGTTAATCTGCATTTGAAAGAGTAACCCATTACAGGAGCTAGTTTAAGATGCCACAGGTTTCTATAAACTGCGTCCATATGAGACTTATGAGGTGGGTACATTAAAAATTGAGTTACTACGCTGACTACATAAGCTAGAGCTGGACGAGTGTGAAACAGATAAATGTGTTTGCCGAGCGGTCTATGGTATCAATCTTTATCAACAGGAATATCATCAACAACTCCTAACCTATGATTTTGCCAATTGGAGCCGATTGGCTTACAACTTGCAGTAAGTGTCTCCGTAAGTAGATTAAGTGCATACTTATGCTGTGAACAAAGATATCCCATCTAGATCCCGCAAACTCAAATTTCCTAAATCCTTAATCTCAACTTCTTGGGCCAACCACGTCTTCAATTGCACTATCTCCTCCATATCACCATCAAGGACTATAGTATCCTCAACATAGTTTGGGTGAATCTCTCAAACCATGCTCGTGGGAAGTGTTTTAATCCACATAATAATTTTCAGCATACATACCTTGCTACTATTAGAGGCAAGTTCAACACAGGGTTGAAGCTCAGTTTTCACATTGAATTGTTGAAGAGGCCAACCTTAATTTGCATCCAAGGAATGTAGGGCAAGAATTCAATTCATCTTTGCCACCGGGGCAAATGTTTCTAGATAGTCAAGCATTTAAGTCTTTGTGAAGCCCTTACCTACTAATTTGGCCTCATACAATATCAACGGAGCCATCTACCTTCTGTTTTATTTTAAGAGCCCATTTAGATCCAACTGGCTTAGTCCCTTCAGGTAGCTCAACTAATTCCCATATGGTATTCCTTTGCAGGGCATTCATGTGTTGACACCATGCTTCCTTCCACTTGGGATCATTAAGTACATGTAAATTTATCGGGAACAAACATAAAAGAAAGTTGCAATACAAAATCCCAATAAGATGGTAAGGGGTGATGCAAAGATACAAAGTTGGGTATGGTGCAAGCTTGAACACCTTTATGATGAGCAATGAGAGTATCAAATTCAGACTCAAGCAGTGAAGTTTTAGTGAAGTTTTATTGAGGGAATCAAGTACAAAAAGTGACAAGGGATTACCTGAACCAAAAAAACTACTTGGCAGCATGGTGGAATAAAGACGGTGTTGTCCCTCTGTTGTCTTAAATAGATCAGCAATTCCTTTCTTCTTGGTGTTGTTCCTTATTATTCTCTTACTCTTGTTCTAATTGAAAGAAAGGCCCAAATGAAACAAATGATAGAAACACTCAGACTTATCTTCACTGAGATTTTCCCCTAGAAGAGGAGTCTTGGATGGGAAATAGGCTACTGTTTCAAAGAAAGTAACATTCACATAAACAAATTTTTTACGTGAAAGAGGGTGATAATATTTGTAGCCTAAGTAATCAAGAAAGCTGCATTTGGTTACTTCAGAGACAAGAAGGGACATGAATAAAGCAAACATCCCAAACGCTCGAGGGGGTTTTGAGAAACTACTAAAAGGAGACGAAGGAGAAGAAGAGAATTATAACATCGATATGACCTCAATTGGTGTCCGTCTATTTGAAAGTCCATAACTCGAAAAGGCATTCTTTTCATGAGATATGCTGAGGTAAGTTTAGTATGTCCCCAATACTACTTGGGAACATTTATAGAGAACATCGAGGCCTAGAGACTTCTAATAGATACCAATTTTTTCTCTCGGTAACTCTATTTTGCTAAGGTGTATAACTAAAAATGGTTTGGTGAATAGTATCTTGCTCAGCAATATAGGAACAAAGTTTTCCATAGCCGTATTAACATTCGAATGAACAATTTGTATTTGAGTAGATGTGAAATGTTTGAAAATAAGATAACTCCATTTTTTTCTCTCAGCAAGCGATATGAGAAAAATTATCAATAAATGTCACAAGCCAACTAAATTAGACAAACAAGCAACTCTCCGTATAAATCCATATGAAGAATAACAAAAGTGAAGAACTCTCACAGAAATAAATTTAAAATGACATACAATGGTGTTTTGCAAGCTCTCATATTCACAAAGGAATTTAAAAACATCCAGCCTTGAAAACAAGGAATGTATTTTCGCAACAAAAGAAATGAAGTGTGCTAATCTTTGACGTAGTAGCAAAATCTGCTCCTTTGTCCCAAACTGAGAAAAATCATGCAGTCTCCAACAAGTCTCTCGATTATGCCTCAATCACAATATAATTTAGTTTTATCGTAAAAAACATCATCATTTGTAGGACCTATCTTAAAATTTTTTATTCCCCAACCGGTTATCTCTAGTAGTCGTAGTGGGGGTGGAATTGTCATAGAGTAGCATGATCCCTTGCCTACTCTCATCTGGAAGAGGTTCATTTGCAAGGATTTGACTCCTAATTTAATCAAATTCAGGATTCGAGCCAGGAAGAAATTCAATAATCCTCTCCTATTCAATTAATTTTTGTTGTTGAGGCATTTGTAGCTAATGCTCGGTCGAGTCTTTGATAGTGATCCGATTCTTGCCAAAACCAATATATGTTATGAAAATAGGTCACCGACATGGAATTTTAATGCTTAGTATTGTGAATCCAACATTTCAAATTGTAAATATGTTTTCCATCTTTGAGTAGATATGTGATACTACCTCCAAATCTCCATGGCAGTGCATAGAAACAAATACTCAATTGTTTGGTTGTATAGAACGTAGCAAACAAGGTATAACAATTGAATTCTCAGCCTCTTATCATAAAGTGGATCATAAATTTGCGATTCCTCATTTTACCAATCAAGTAATCCCTCGTTCTCTTACTCTTGACCAACAACTTAATTGACTGCGACCAGGTGAGGTAAATGTGGCAATCAATCTTTACTGTTGTAATCTATAGGTGGGACCTTTAGTCTGAAGCCCAATCTGCACCTTTTTACTGTTTCTGAGAAGCCGTGCTAGATTTCAACATCCTTAAACTGATTTCTACCTCTTCTCAAAGAGCCAATTGCACGCTAAATGGCTCAATTGACCAAAAACAATAAGAAACACATACTCTCTCAAAATTGCATTTAATCAACCTGAAAATTGCAGAAATGAGCAAACTCACTACCGGTTGAAAGGACCCATTTCATTGAAGCCAAAAGCTACCAACTGACTGCTTTGAAGCCTTACAACTCCAAAAAAAGCCACTTTGGACCATTGGGTAACACCTGGGAAGCCAAAATGGGCACCTAAAGTTACTGTTCCAAGTAGCAAATCCGTCAAAATAGGTTAGACAATGTGGATCTGAAAAATCAAGCTAATTTTTCCAAAAATCAAAGAATAGGATTCAAAAAACAAATAGGCTCAAAAATTCCAAAAATATCATAGATGAACTTAACTCATCCAATCAATCCTGGTTGTGGTTTTCTTAAATAAATTTTCTCTGGACCGAAAGATCAGAAAACCAGAACCTGCTTCATCTTGCAGATTAAAATTTTTCTTACTGTCTTCTATGTGGTAGATGAGTTCAGGAATCAGGACGTAACCTGCTCTACTACCAAGTTGAATTAGTCTAAATTGTAAAAAGAGAAAAGGAAAGAAAGAGAAAACCTAAGAGTGCAGAAGCTACCGGAAAGAGAGAAAAAAAGAATTAGGGTTCTGTTTCTTGGTAACTTTTATTTATAAGTACAAAATTATATTGACCAAAAAGCAGTTAATAATAATAAAGGTAAGGCTAGAATACTTCAAACAATTTTAGTGCCTATTTAAATAATGGGCTTGCAAGATGGGAGGAATAACAGATAAACACAACAAAAATATAGAATCTTGTCAAAAAAATACTCTGAACAGTGATTTTCTTGTGTCAGCATAACTACAGTAACAAGTATCAGCCATAGTGCACATACCTGTCGACATTGAGACATTGAGTATTATATACAATTGTACCTTTTCCCAAACGTCAACTACTATTTGTAAACTCAAATCTCCTATGCATTGTGCTTTAAACAATTTTGACGATATTTTTGTTGTCTTATCTTTGTGTGTGTCTGTGTGAATGCATGCATGCCTGTATGCTGCAAGGATGGGCATGGCTATTCTTGTGCAATAGCTGCTGGTTTATCTATTGATATTCTTATGGCAGTTAACTCAGATTTTACTTTAATTGGTATATATATGATGGAGTTAATGCTAAAATTAATTTTGGAGTTAAGAGAAACGGACACTCTATAAAAGGTAATACACCTGTGACGGACCATGACTCTTCTCGGTCACTTTGGACACGTCACTATCTGTGTCTATGGCTAAAAAATGAACTTATAATTTTGGACACTTGTCTGACACTCTTTTGGTGACGTGTCTGACACTCCTTTAGGATGTGTCTGCTGATAGATTATAATCATGTGCTTACCTGTTAGTAACAAAGCTTAAGAACTTGATAAATGACTCTTATATTGTTAAAGAATATGTAATCGTTAAAACTAGTCATGTTAAAGTTGTACTTAAATTTACAAGAAAAGCAAAAGATACATAAATATTTTGCTAAAGAGGAATTAACAAGATGAGATCAATAATTATAAATTTGCATGTCTGCTACACATTGTGCAAAAATTGATCAATAGTGACTACTATGATCCTTTAGTTGACCCGACATAACATTTGTCATAAAGTAGTAAATTTTTTATCAGCAGTAACATAACTATTTCTATATTTGTGATAAATTTTATAATTTGGGAAATAACGTATAATTACTTGTAATGTGTCTCTGAAGTGTCCGTGTTATTCTCGTCTTTGTGTCATTTTGTATTCGTGTCCGTGTCCGTGTCCATGCTTTTTAAGTTGGGAGGAGTTTGTTCTTTTCCATAACAGTACAAACATTATTGCTCGAGCAGGATTTTTTAAGATATTTGCTGATTACATGTTTTTTTCTTTGTTTAATAGAATAATTGTTTTCCATATACAGGTTTCTATCATGCAAATTGCTTCTGAAAAGATGGTTTACATCTTTGACCTCATAAAGTTGTTTGAAGACGTACCTGATATTTTAGACGACTGCCTGACACGCATTTTGCATTCTCCCAGAATTTTAAAGCTTGGTATGTCAAACCAAAAATGGAGTATTAATAGATTCTCACTCTTTAAGCATGCGCTAGGTTGAAAAGGAAACTTGTTTCTATTTCTGAGAAGGAAATCCATCTCTACAACAGTTTGGTTCTTTTAGGTTACCAATGGCCCCCTATATCCCAGAGGAGTGTAATTATTAAAGCATTCATCTTTGTTTTGGTTGGGGTTGAAATTCTTCTAAGTGGTATATATTGGATGATAGATCCTCAGCAGTTCATGTTCTAGTGTTTGTGGTATGGTATAAAAGACTGGGATTTTTATCTTCCCAAGGGATAAAACGCATTACCTACATGTTAGTGTGATTGTTTTTATGGTTTGTGCAACTTGTAGGCTATAGTTTTCAATCTGATGTGAAGCAGCTCGCTCATTCTTATGGCGATCTGGAGTGTTTCAAGCACTACGAGATGCTGCTGGATATCCAGAATGTGTTCAGAGAACCCCGGGGTGGTCTTTCCGGCCTGGCAAAGGTAATTCTGAAATCTAACCATATCCGGACTTGCTTGCCTCCTGCTGCTCCTACTTATATCTTGTATACGGTCTCAAATTCTTTTCAGAAGTTATACTATGTCAAATTCACTGATGAGTTTCTTCTGCTTCTGTATTTTCATAAGTGGTCTTGTAATCATGATCAAAGAAATACTCAACCATATTTTTCTTTTTTTGTTTTTGGTGGCAATTATTGGATTAGAAAATTTTGGGAGCTGGTTTGAACAAAACAAGACGAGACAGCGACTGGGAGCAGCGGCCTTTAAGTCAGGATCAGGTACGTTGTTCAATGTTTCTTTTCATTTGTTCATGTGCTCGATATCATAAGCTGTTGGGGAATAATGAGCAGGAGTTGTATGCAAAACTTTTTTTAATTGGTGGAGTACTTCCAGTGGCATGTTTGTTTACATCCTCAGGATGGTGATGCGATAATGCCTGATCTCTGGACCATGTATGCAGGCTACAATGACCCTAGTGTTTGCACATTTCTTTTCAAAATTATATTTCTCAGTTTTTAGATAAGAATAAATATTTAGAGGCGCTGAGCTGGGTCTATGATTTTTGTGTTACACAAAGTAGTCACATAATGGAAATGAAAGTGGGAGAAAAACTCCACTCTCATTAAAAGATTTTAGCAAAGAACTTACAAATGGCGGTAAGTTTGGTGGTTTTGCCTCTAGTATGACAATGTTGATTGGCCTTTTGAGTATCTATGTGCGATATTTTTTTTCGTAAAAAGAAGCCTCTTCAAGATAGGGCCACATTGGACCCATCCTTGCAAAGTAACTCTCAAATACTTTCAATCACCCACTAATCATAAGTATCGATTGAACCCAGGAGTGACCAACGAGAATGCAACCTAGGACGTCTGAGTTTACGTTTGCCCCAAGTACAACCCCACATAACTGGTTTACCCACCCAGGTTCATCAATGTGAGATTTGTTAGTAATATTGCCATGGATCCATGTCTCTCGTTTTCCACACTACTACTCTTGTACAAGAAGTAACTTTGTGGAAATTATATGTACTGATGCTTGTTCAGTTTGGTAGATAGATATAAGTGATAAAATGACAAAAGATTTGAGAAGAAGATTGGAAAAAAATAAATTTTAAGTGAGTGCCATCCTCTGGCAGGCCTCCAATATAGAATCTGGTATTCTGAGAGAGTACCATGTTTAGTTTTGGTTAGTCGCTAGAAAGAAAGATGAATGAATGTGTGAGAGGAGAAAGAGAAATTGTTACCCTCCCTCTTACTCCAAACTCATTATTATATATGATAAAACAGAAAAGCATGTATAGCATACAGGAGTACACTTATGACAATATATAAAATATATAATAACACTAATATTGTCAACAGTCCTAAATTTTACACGTGAGATAAAATCTATTTACACCTCGCTCATATGAGACTTGGGCCTGCACTTAGGCCAACACACAACCGAAATAAGCTAACAAACGAGTAATTCAAATGAATTGGACTTACTGTACTGAACAGGCCTAACTTTGATACAATGTTAGAGCCATCTAACCCTTAATCAATTGGCAATGGTTGAAAAGCCCCCTTAACCCTATAAACCAATCATGGGTGGTCATAATAATCTTTTTATGTGGGATACAAGCTCTTTACGCAACACCTATACAAGTGCATGCATCCTTCTAAGAGAAATCTTGTTGGCTTTTGAAACACGAAAGTAGACAATAAAAGCTTGAAAAGAAGTTTTGCTAACCAATTTTTGCCCTCCAAATTGGTTAAAAAGGTTTGTTTCTCGTATTAAATTAGGAACTATTGCTAACAACTCATCTTTAGTTTTGATTTAGAATAACTTTTTAGGAGGTAAAGCTGCATGCGCTCAAGAAATAGAAGGCAGTAGCGGGAAGAAGGGGAAAGAATTGGTTGCATTGCGTGCCAGAAAATGAACAGCAGGAAATCCTTTCATTCTAACATTCACAAGCATGCGGTGGTCACTTCTCACCAAAGAAAACTTTGGTGAAAATTCTTTAATTAGGTTTTTACTGGCCCTCACTTAACAAAAGACTATGTTTCATTTTGTAAATAATGTGATAGATGCCAGCGTTTGGATAGTGTGACCCAAAGGAACATGATGCCCCTCTCCCCAGTACTCGTTATAGAAATATTTGATTGTTGGGGCATCGACTTTATGGGTCCCTTCCCTATGTCGTTTGACAATTTATACATCCTACTGGTAATGGACTATGTACCTAAGTGGGTGGAGGAGATCCCAACCAAGACCAATGACCACCGGGTCGTGGTCAAGTCCCTCAAGGAGAACATTTTTTCGAGATTTAAATCCAGTACAAAAGCTCAATAATATTACTGTTTTCCAGGAAGAGAACAATTGATGTGTTTTTTCTTCTTTGTAAGTTTGATCTATGCTTTCATGGTATCAGAACCTGGTTGCGACACGGTTGGAAATAGAGAACGTTTGACTAGTGCACAGAGTTCACGCACTGTTCACTGCGAACAATACCTTCTCTATTCACTAGTCATCTTTTATTATATAATTTGTTTTGTCGCAGTTTTGTCGTTTGTGATTTTTGTGAGATTTTTTGTGACTTTTCTACTTTTTCGATTTTAGGGTTATCTGTTATTGATTGAAGGTTTTAAAGCATCTTTGATGGATTTTGTGAAGATTTGCTGAAAATCTATGAGAAGTTGTCTCTTAACTTCTGGTTTTGGTTTCTCTGTTCTTCGATCCTTTGCTGATTTGTTCCATGTGGTTTGCTATTTGCATCGTATTGCACTGTGTAGTATTGAACAGTAGGCAACGTTGTTCCATTTCCTACTGGTTTTTGGGCTGTTTTGTGCAGGGTCTGAGTTTGGCTTGTTGGTTTTGTGTTGGGTTTGACCTTGAGCTGATTGGGCTTGTATTATGTTGGTTTTGAGTTGGGCTTGTTGGTTTTGTATTGGGTTTGTCTACCAACAAGTATTTTGGATATTTTTCATTTGCAATGTGGCAATCGGCAAAGGCCATCAGTGTAAAATTGACTACGGACAACTATGCCTATTGGGCATACGTAATGAAAAACTTTCTATAGGCCAAAGATATGTAGAGTTTTGTCAATGGTGTTGCAAAAGCTCCAACTAATACTAAGACACAGAAGTATGCAAATTCGAAGAACAATTGAGATTGATATCAACAATGCTAAAATTATTACTTGAATTAACAACTCAGTCGNTAACAAAAGACTATGTTTCATTTTGTAAATAATGTGATAGATGCCAGCGTTTGGATAGTGTGACCCAAAGGAACATGATGCCCCTCTCCCCAGTACTCGTTATAGAAATATTTGATTGTTGGGGCATCGACTTTATGGGTCCCTTCCCTATGTCGTTTGACAATTTATACATCCTACTGGTAATGGACTATGTACCTAAGTGGGTGGAGGAGATCCCAACCAAGACCAATGACCACCGGGTCGTGGTCAAGTCCCTCAAGGAGAACATTTTTTCGAGATTTAAATCCAGTACAAAAGCTCAATAATATTACTGTTTTCCAGGAAGAGAACAATTGATGTGTTTTTTCTTCTTTGTAAGTTTGATCTATGCTTTCATGGTATCAGAACCTGGTTGCGACACGGTTGGAAATAGAGAACGTTTGACTAGTGCACAGAGTTCACGCACTGTTCACTGCGAACAATACCTTCTCTATTCACTAGTCATCTTTTATTATATAATTTGTTTTGTCGCAGTTTTGTCGTTTGTGATTTTTGTGAGATTTTTTGTGACTTTTCTACTTTTTCGATTTTAGGGTTATCTGTTATTGATTGAAGGTTTTAAAGCATCTTTGATGGATTTTGTGAAGATTTGCTGAAAATCTATGAGAAGTTGTCTCTTAACTTCTGGTTTTGGTTTCTCTGTTCTTCGATCCTTTGCTGATTTGTTCCATGTGGTTTGCTATTTGCATCGTATTGCACTGTGTAGTATTGAACAGTAGGCAACGTTGTTCCATTTCCTACTGGTTTTTGGGCTGTTTTGTGCAGGGTCTGAGTTTGGCTTGTTGGTTTTGTGTTGGGTTTGACCTTGAGCTGATTGGGCTTGTATTATGTTGGTTTTGAGTTGGGCTTGTTGGTTTTGTATTGGGTTTGTCTACCAACAAGTATTTTGGATATTTTTCATTTGCAATGTGGCAATCGGCAAAGGCCATCAGTGTAAAATTGACTACGGACAACTATGCCTATTGGGCATACGTAATGAAAAACTTTCTATAGGCCAAAGATATGTAGAGTTTTGTCAATGGTGTTGCAAAAGCTCCAACTAATACTAAGACACAGAAGTATGCAAATTCGAAGAACAATTGAGATTGATATCAACAATGCTAAAATTATTACTTGAATTAACAACTCAGTCGATCAAACTATTTGTGTTCATTTGGCTAAGTTTAGCACAACCAAGGAAATTTAGGACTATTTGACTATTTGGTTTGTTCAGTTCATCTTTACAAAAAGATATCAAGTTGAGAATGAAATTCAAGCTATATGTCAAGGCGATAGGAACATTATGGAGTTCAATTAAGTTAGTACTGGATATTGGAATTAGTTCGCACTCACTGAACCTACTAAATTGAGTACTAATAAGGCATACCGTACTTTTAGAGAAGAACAGAGATTCATGCAATTTTTTATGGTACTAAGAGATGACTTTGAGGGCTTCGTGGTTGAATTCTCTATCATCACCCATTTGGTTCATGAGCTCTTGGCTAAGGAGGTGTGTCTTAAGACACTTTGTGTAAAGGGGGCTTCTTCTATTGCTCAATCATACTATATTGGTTATTCCTTCCAAGGTAACGTGTCAGGGCCGAGCTACTTCGGATGAGTGTAGCTTTTGTCGTGAGAATGACTACTAGAAGGTCTTGTGTGCTAAATTGGTGAATAAGAATGAACTGGGACCACTAAATCAATCTTTTGAGCCCAAAGACTGCCATATGACAGCAACTGCACCACCAACAGACTAGTCACTCTCCTCACCTCTTAGCTTGAATCTGATAGCTAATTAGTTGTAGAAGTTCTCTCTTTTCATTAGCCTAGTGCACACTCGGTCTCTCCCTCGGCATGTTCATTTACTTTAGGTCCATCGGGTATATCTCGAACGGCTTAAGTCTTTGAATCAGGTGTCACACATCACATGACTAATGATTTCTCCTTATTTGTATCTATTTTTTCCCCTCCCTCTGTATTTGTGCTTGTAGCCAATGATAGTCAAAATGTCTTTGGTTGGTGTTGACATAATTTTTTCTCTATAACTCACTTTTTGATGTCTACTATATTCCTAACTCACTTTGAATTTAATGTCAGTTAGTTAGATATTTGATTTTGGATTTTTTAGTTTTTTTTTCTCTAGTTGTATTTGTCCAAGAAGCTAATTGGGACCAAAGAACTAAATTATGTTTTGAAACGATCAAATTGTCCGAAACGTTAACGTTTCCATTTCTATTTCCATGGGAAATGAAACGAA